TTGGGTTTCTCCAAGATCTTTACTTTGTGTTATTTATTGTTTTCCAAATATTTCAACTGCTGTAATTAAACATAGGATTTTGGATTGTATGCTTAACCATCTAGAAACTAATTAAAAGTGACTTGTTGCTTTAATTAGCGTTATTTCGCTCGTAAGGTCAAACTTAGTTAGTAGACTACGAAATTTCAATTGGTATCAAACATATAGATTTCATCGAAGCTTCGCTCATTAGATTCATATTTTTAAATTTTGGATTGTCAATTTTGGTGAGTTAGTGCTCAATTTTCGAGGCAACATATTTTGATTAAGAATCTATTTTGATGTTATAGGACCATGAATGGAAGCGCCTTGGGGAGTAGATTTCACCGATTGGTGGCTAATGGCATGGATTTTGTCGAAAAGAGTGTTGCTACCTTGGTTTTGGTATGTGAGTTGGGGGCAATTATGAGGGTCGTTTGTGGTGGTGTGTGGGCAGGTAGGTGGAGGTGTATTCGGTTGTGGTGGTGTCTGGAGGTTTAGGCGACGGTAGGGTGGAGTTTGAGTTGGTTGAAGGTGGCGGCTCCATTGAGTCGCCAGTGGTGGTGGTGGAGGATTATTTTGAATTTTTTATTAATTTATTTATGATTCATTTGTACTTTTTAAGAATGTTTGGAAGTATGGTTACAATTAGTTCTTTATATTTTTCTTTTGTTTTGTTTAAATAGGATGTTATATTCATTATTCCATATATTTTTATTGAGAAATTGAATACAATTTGATGAAAATGATATTTTCCACAATGAAACGTGAAAATAAGGGCGAAAATATCAAATTTGAAACGTTTTGCACACTAAATGCCAAACGTAGGTATGTTTTGTACTAATAAGCCTAAGATAATCATACAAAACGTATGTACGGTAAATAATGCTATTTGCAGTCGCTCACTACCAAAATCGCCCCCACATAACACACATGTGGCAGTTAATGATTTGATGCATAAGGCAATAAAAAACTACCGCATTAATGCATCAAATTACTAACTGTTTATGTATGTCACGTAGAACGACTCTGATGTTAAGTGGTTGAAAAAAACATTACTCATGTATTATACATAGTCAAAGAGAAAAAAATACTCTAACGTATGTCTAAAAATGAAATAAGATTTTTTCTGCAACCTTTTTTCTTATACACAGAATTGCAAAGGCCTGAAGGATAAGAATAATTTCATTTGTATTATCTAATTCAACAGTGAAAGTACCTACCAAACTGCGTTATTTTTTGAGAATGGTTCAATAATGGCAACTTTTGGACAATATTTTATTGTCTGAAAATCAAACCCATTTCTCAAAGAAGAAAGTGAGAAAAACTTGATGGTTTCAATCCCCTTGTTTCTCTCACCCCAACCCGTGAGTCACCACACCAGCACCGACTGTGTTATGAGGAAAACCCCGAATTCCATTTGATTTTTGGCAAATACAAAACCCAAGAATAGCATAGATCTAGTTGCGTCAATTACAAGATTTGGCCTCCAACTGCTTAAGAAACAAGCAGTTTCTTATTGATAAAGACCTGAGAATTTTCTGGGGATAAGGTGAAGGAATGTATGGTGATTCCCATGCATTATCTTCTGATTCGAGGCCTATAATTCCATCCAATTTGTGGCCTAATGAACAGCAGCAGCAGCAGTTTCTATTCATGGATTCTGAAACAAACACAAATTATAGCCATCAAAACAATTCTGGGTTAGCCAGGTTTAGGTCAGCTCCCAGTTCCTTGTTTGCTAATTTTAATAATGGAGTTGAAACTCGAGGATTGACTACAATATTTGATTGTGGTGGTGAAAAGTCTGCCGTTAGTGAATTTGCACAGTTGCCGCCGCAGAATCCACGGCAAAGTGGTGTCCATGTGGATGGCGGCGGGTATAAAGTTGCGGGTTTAAGGAGAATGGATCATCAGGGACAAGGAAAAATGGGTTTCAGTCTTATGAGACAAAACAGTTCCCCTGCTGGACTCTTCTCTCACCACACTGCACAAAATGGTACACCTTTTAGTTACTGATTTATTTTGAGGGCTATAATATCTAATCAGTGAAGATTTATCTACAAAAGAAGTTAGCATAGTTTCGATTGTTTCCATCTTTTATCGATTAGAAGAAATTAAAATTTTATCTACAGTCTGTATGATCTAATATTGTATATCAAAGATGCACTTATAAGGCTAAATATAGAATTCCAATAAAGTTATTTATGTTTGTATCCAAAGGAAAATAAAATGGGAAACAGGGGAGAGAAGTTTTCACTTTGGTTCATTCGAGGGGAAAGGGTTAAAAAAATCACATTCCTCACTTATTTACCTTATTTTACATTTTTTAGCAAGAAATTATGATAAATTTGGAATTGGTGAAGTAGTCTTGCTGAAGTAGTATCAGCAATTTGCAGGTTATGCCACGGCAAGAGGTATTGGAAGTTACAGAGCTGGTGCTAATGTTGATCTAAGTCCATCTTCAAGCTCATTCAAGAATCATATGAGCTTCTCCTCCTTAGGAATGTTGTCTCGAATCACAGAAGTCGAGAACGAAAGTGGTGGAGCAAGTGGCCTTGATGATACGAAGGTCGGAAATAGCAACTGCATCAATTTATCATATAGTACTGGACTCCCGTTTGGTTCTTGGAACGATTCTACAAATTTTTTAGAAAACTTCAATGGAATTAAAAGGGAGTTTGATAATGATGGGAAGGCTTTTGTGAATAATGAGGTATCATTTTTGAATTATCAGTTATTTGCATCCTAAGTTTGATTCCTTTAGATTTGATGAATCTGTATTGCTTGTATGTAAACAGAATGGGGAGTTCGGAAATAGGCCACATATTCTGTCGCATCATGTAAGTTTACCAAAGACTTCGGCTGAAGTGGCTGCCGTGGAGAAATTTCTGCAGCTCCAAGACACTGTTCCCTGTAAAATCCGTGCAAAACGAGGTTGTGCCACTCATCCACGAAGTATCGCTGAAAGGGTAAATTTCCTTTTAGTTGCTCTTAACATGTTAATATTTTTATCGGAATTGTAATGATAATATAGAAGAATGAGATGAAAAAAATGAAGATGTATCTCGGATAATCTGACGGTTTAATGCAGGTAAGAAGAACACGAATCAGTGAAAGAATGAGGAAGCTGCAGGAGCTTGTCCCGAACATGGATAAGGTAAGCATTTCTAAAATGTTATTAGTCTTTTAACCATTTTGGAATTTCAGAAATGATCTATTCTTTTGGCAGCAAACGAACACGGCAGACATGTTAGATTTCGCGGTCGACTATATTAAGAACCTCCAGATACAGTACAAGGTATTAAACCCAGCAAATATAAAGCAATTTATGGTAGTTACATTCAAATTTTTAGTTCCTTCACACATTTATCTACTTTTGCAGACGCTTAGCGATAATCGAGCAAAATGCAAATGCTCTGCCTCCCAGAAGTCCATTCCAAATCAAACACGATGTTAGCTACTGTCTCGAAATAAAGGTAAAGGTGGAGAACACAACTGCAAAATTGATTTTCTGCCCTAAAACCGGAGGATATGGAGGAGAAACTCGGAATTTTTCCGAAATTCTTTTGCTTAATGTAGAATTTAGTATAAGATATTAGTAACTGCAGATCAATGGAGTCTTACAAATATATTTAGAAAGAAGTGAAAGAATATATATTTCAATTGTACATTTCTTCTTATATGGAGTTTTTTCCATTTTAGGTAAAAAATTAATAATAATTTGGATATGGTTTTGTTGTTGAAGCATATCTATCTATCTATATATATATATTCATCTTTCTGTTGATTGTTTTTTGTTTTCTATGATTAAAGTGGCCTACCAAGATGATGATGTTTGGAATACATAATCTAATACCATTTACACCTCTCAACATCGTGGATGACTCTTGTGTCTGTTTGTCCCTAAATGAATCTTATCTACTTCCATTCTATGTTTCTATTATCATATCATATATTATGTTGAAGATAGTACATTAAGCTCCCTATTTGACAACCATTATTTGAGAAAAATAGAGTTTTAAATAGTAACTTTTACAAGAATGTGTGGTTAAGAAGGAAAAAAATTGAGAAAAATAGAGTTTTCAAAATTCATCATACCTGACCGAATAAAATTCTATTTTTTCATTAGATCTACAAAACAAAAGAAAACACAAAAGAAATCTAAAAAATTAAAGATCAGATCACAGGCGTCACTGTCGTGAGCCCATGATTGCCGTGGGAGAGACTAGAGAGGACGGGCGGAGAGAGCACAGGAGTCGGGAGAGAGCTTAGAGACGGATGAGTGACGGGACGTGGGAGAGAGCTTAGAGACGGAGGAGTGTAGTGGAGAAATGAATGAGGGTTTCTTTCTTTTTCATTTCATAAAAAAAAAAAAAAATTTACCTTTTCGCAACACTTAACAAACGTTGCAAAAAATGAACTTTCCGCAACACTCAATATTGCAACGTTTGACAAACGTTGGGAAAAATAAAACTTTTCGCAACACTCAACAAACGTTGCAAAAAAAGTGGTCTATCGCAACGTTTGTCAAACGTTGCAAAAGGCTAGGTTAATCTATACGGATCTTTTCTTTTATTAACTAAATCAGAAGAAATAATCTTCACGTCTAGTTGATACTTAGCTCTTGTTTGACAACTATTATTTTCAAATTCTTTTTTCTACATACTCATTTTCAATTACACATTCGCACAATAAAATATTTTACACGCACTACAACAAAAATAGTCATTTGCAACACTAAAATTGCAACATTTTTTGATAAATGTTGCTAAAAGGGTCTTTTGACAATAATTTAGTAAGTGAATGTTGCTATTGGTTAGTATAAATGAGTTTTGGCAACGTTTGATAGAAAAATGTTGCGATAGACCCATTTTGCAACGTTTATTAAGTGTTGCGGAAAGTTTTATTTTTCGTAATGTTTGTCAAACGTTGCAAAAGAACATTTATCAAAAAATGTTGCAATTTTAGTGTTGCAAATGACTATTTTTGTTGTAGTGCGTGCAAAATATTTTATTGTGCGAATGTGTAATTGAAAATGAGTATGTAGAAAAAAGAATTTGAAAATAATAGTTGTCAAACAGGAGCTAAGTATCAACTAGACGAGAAGATTATTTTTTCTGATTTAGTTAATAAAAGAAAAGATCCGTATAGATTAACCTTTCACGTACGATAGGGTAAAGTGCAAGTCCCAATATTCCCATTAACATGAGTAGTGCATTCTCTCCTCATCAAATCCCGCTAGTCCTTGGTACAATTTCCACAAACATTAATCCAGTTAGGTGCATAAATTTCGGCGCATTTTGTTGACAACATGGGTGTATATTTTGTAATATAATATGCTGCAAAAGTAAGTAAAAGGTTTCAGTCTAACTTGTTACCTCAACCCAGCTAAGGCTAATATACACGAACTTGTGACGACTTATTCATGTTTTACGAAGTTGAGAAGCAATGAACTGGTGAGCTGTTGGCATGGAAAGAAGCTTGAAACCTATGCCAAGCTAGACAATACAAGAATCGATGTTCATTTGCTCACCTGACCCAAGACATGATAGTTTCCAAAACTTAAGGGATATATCGAATTGGAAAATGAGAAATAACGATCATGATCAACCATGACTCCTTCATCTAATACAACTTCAGTAAACTCTAAAGTAGCAAAAAGTAACAGAAAAATTAAGCATATTCGTCAAAATCATAAGTAATACAATCACTTGTTCATTAACCTATTAGTTCTTTGGTGGCCAAGCATACTTGCCAAAAGCTTTCATCCCGCACTAGACGGGCTTATTGCGATTTCGGATATTTTGAATAAGCAAATGCTATAAGTCTATAATAGCGCCTATTGTCAAAACAAAATTCGAAGAAAGGGAGAAGAGAACAAAAGTAGCAGTAAGAAACACCGAAAAACTAGAAATGAGACTTGTAAGGGTAATCATTTGTAAGTGTTATGCTCTAAATCCAATTAATTTTGGAACATAACCACTTTTAATATATATTATCACTACATATTTATGGCAATATCTATTATTTAATTAAATTAATATTCTAATAAATTAAATAATAGAATCCGTAGATTCAAATATTAATGATTTGTTAATCACAAGAAGTTGTGATTGTGAGATACAAATTACTTATGACTAAATCTTAAATCGTCTGTCGTTGTATGTAATAATGAGATACGGATATCATTATTACGGATAGACCATCACATGTGACATTTTTTGTAAAGTAAGTAGCTAATCTCACAAGCAAAGTGTGGTGACATTTGAATGAACACGTGAATGTTTTGTTATAGAACAAAACATTGGAGACCTACTGGGAGATTTCACATGGATAATTATCTAGTGTTGTGGTTAATCTCTAACGTTCGGTAATGGAATTGATCATTTGACATGAGGTTATCATAGTGCCTTACATATGAGGACAGTCATACTTTAGTGATATTGGATGTTGCTCTGCCAAGGTCGCTAATACAACATCGTTCGGGTATATCAAGAATCATATGAATGTTGTGAATGATCAATAGATGATTCGTCACTCTTAGATAGTAAGAGATTATAATCTACATTTTATCCAGTTAAGTTGATAATGAAATCATTGGCTAAGGTGAACTCATAAGTCGACAAAGAGTTTTCGACTTATATTGACTTAACAGTGGGATAAAAGTTATGATCAATAATTGAGATTGACACATATTTATATCTCATAATTGATCGAATCATAATAACGAAAGGATTATAGTTTCACGATAAATGAACAAATTTGGTTTTATCATACCACGTGACATTTTTCGTCACATGTATTGCTCTAACACATTGCTAGATGTTAATCTGGGACAATAGATGTGAATTAATGATAAATTAAAAGGGGTATTTTAATTTATCAATTTTGATAAGATCAAAATAATAATTCAGGCGTTAAGTATCGTGATCGGAAACCTAATGGGTCACACACAAAAGAGAACCAGAAGAATAAGATTTACCAATTAATTAATTGACAAGTGTTGATCATTAATTAACTAGGTTGCTTATTAATATGTCTGGCCTAATTAATTTGATTAATTAATTCATGGACCAGATTTAATTAATTTGATTAATTAAATATTGGACTGTGTTAAGTTTAAGAGACGCTCCAAGTCCGCTTGGATTTATATTAATAGGCTGTTAGGGTTTGAAAACAATATGAAATAATTCATTATTCTTGCTAGCACAAGAAAAGAAAATCATAGTCGTCATTCTTGTTTACTTGTAGATTACCATTGGAGGTTGGACAATTGGACAGTTTGGATTGCAGATCGTGATTATTCGAGTTCGAGAAAAGCAAAGGAGCTTGCAAAATTCATCAAAAGTATAATTCCTATCACAGTTTCTATCTAAACACAAAGCAGATCCTTGGTGGAACTTGAGAAATTATTTATTTTTCACTGTGCATGTTAAGTAAATTCCCAACAGTGGTATCAGAACCTATTTTATGCTTGTTAGAAACTATTTTGTTTATTTGAACAATCAAGAATTGATTGATGATTTATTATTTCTAGCAATTGAGAAATTTTGATTTTCATATTTTAAAATCAGTTTAAATAAAATCAAATTCGAATCTGGAGGTTGTAGGCGGCGGTGTTGCCAGCGACAACACAGCCGCCCGACCACAAGGCGCCGTTGCGATTTGCTATGGAAGAAAGCAACGACGACAGGCGCCGCTGTGATTTGCAGCGGTGATTGTTGCCGCTACAAAGAAATTGCAGCGCTTCGCGCTACTGTTATGCAGCGGGAAGCGTTGTTGCTGCTGCTGCGACGATCTGCCGCTCGTTGCCATGCGCGGCGCTAGCAGCAGTTTCCAAAAAAGGAAAGGGGCGATTTCTCTAAGGTTTCAATCGGGTGATTGGAGGTGGGGGCATCTGATGCAATTAAGTTGATTGAATGGCATGTTTATAATTTTAAACCAGGGGCCATATTGCAAATTTGAAATGGTTTTAAATTTAAATATTAAATTTGATTTTCTGACCCTATTATCAATTTTGACCCGTTTAAAATTTTATTTAAAATTGACGACCTTTTATATTTTCGTTAAAATTGAATTTTAACTAACATATTAAATTTTGACCCTAAATTGAATTTTGTTTTATTTAAAAGTTTTATCCTAAATTAAAATGTTAATTCAATTAAATACGGATAGACCATCACATGTGGCATTTCTTGTAAAGTAAGTAGCTGATCTCACAAGCAAAGTGTGGTGACATTTGAATGAACACGTGAATGTTTTGTTATAGAACAAAACATTGGAGACCCACTGGGAGATTTCACATGGATAATTATTTGAGTGTTGTGGTTAATCTCTAACGCTCGGTAGTGGAATTGATCATTTGACATGAGGTTATCATAGTGCCTTATATATGAGGACAGTCTAGTGATATTGGATGTTGCTCTGCTAAGGTCGCTAATACAACATCGTTCGGGT